TCCTTGGCCCTCTTATCCGGAGGTGACAATGCAGCGGCCAAGGAGCGGCAGGCGCGCAAGGCCAGTGTGGCGTTGGTGGTATAGTGGTGAGCATAGCTGCCTTCCAAGCAGTTGACCCGGGTTCGATTCCCGGCCAACGCACAGCTGAGTGCTTCTGGCACGGGCCGAGAGCCTTTTTCGAAAACGGGTTGTCGCCGCGGTGACCCGTAGGTGTCCTCACTTTGCAGCCATGCCTGCCAATGCAGGTTACAGGGCAAAAGCGCCCCGGCCCTGTTGTTGGGATCCTTCAGGCAAGAACTATGCAGAGCTTGTCTGCATGACAGGTCGCAGAGTCTTTGCCGCGACCTGTATTGTCATAAGCAAAATTGTTATAAGCGGGTGTGGCTTGCATCGGGGGCAGGGGGGGGAGAGGGGTTAATACCAAAAAAGGATGCTCACGGGAACGGCAGGCGCAAACTCCAGGGAAAAACACTCATCCTTCGAGCCGGAATCGAACCAGCGACCTAAGGATTGCTTTGGCACGCCTACAGTCCTCCGCTCTGCCAGCTGAGCTATCGAAGGCAGGAGCGGCCTGGCTGCGGCCAGTCGAGCCTTGGATGGCGGCCTGGCTTTTGAGACCACTTTAACCAGGCGCGAGGAAAGCCAATCCGCTTCAGGCAAAGACGTTAATGAACCGCGGGTCTGCTGGGGGGCTGTATGAAAGACTGGCCCTTGGCCTTGGTAAGGAGGGCTGTATCAGAGAAAATACCTCCTCAGTCGCTTTTGGAAAGGACTTGGGTAGATTTTAGGCCCTCTGTACGCGTTGAGATGAAAGCGGGTAAGAAGACAGTTCCGCAGGATAAGAAAACTGTTGACTGTCGAAGCAGCTGCGGGAGCTGTTGCCAGCGAGGCGGGGCGTTGCTGGCACGGTAGCTTCGTGGAACAAACGTCTGTTCTGCTCAGTGCCTAAAGAGCTTCGTCGCGGTCGTTTGGGGGGACACTTTTCCTGACAAAGTAAAACAGAAGCCTTCCAAAAGGCTGCCCCGTGTGAGGATCGAACTCACGGCCTTCAGATTATGAGACTGACGCGCTACCTACTGCGCTAACGAGGCGGCGAGCCGACCCAGGCCGGCGCTACCTCGTACATACTGTGAAAAATAAAACAAAAAAACAACGCAGACAGACTGAGGGCTAAGCAATGTGCAAGGCAGGGGGGATCTCTCTAAAGGACAGGTCTGTTGACCTCTGAAACTTTGGGTGGAGCAAAAAGCCACACAAGAGCCCCACGTCAAGCTCTTCCAAGAGCAGCCCTTTTTTTTTT